AAGAAAGAAAGAAAGAAAGAAAGAAAGAAAGAAAGAAAGAAAGAAAGAAAGAAAAAGAAAGAGTGAGCTGGTCCCACGAGCTCTGCTCAGAACTCATCTCTTCTGCTCCTAGCTCTGCAGCCAGGAGGGGTCCCAGAGGAGCCAGGTCTCTTGGTCTCCAGTGAAAAGCATTGCACCCTGTGGCCTTTGGCTCGCTGTCAGAGCAGTGCTAGGTCTCCCTGAGCCACAAACTTTGCTTCTGTCTAGAAGCTGGAGGCTGAGGTTCCGTGGGTTTCATAAGATTGCTGCCTTGGCTCTTTTATAAATTCTCTGTTAGCCTCAAAGTGGTCCTTCCATGATCTCCGGGCCTTATTAGGTGTCCGTTCTCCCCACCCTCATCTCCAGCTCTGCGTCTCCTGTGGCCTGTGACTTCTGCCTGTTGAAGTCCATTGCTCTTCTCACCTGAACCTGAAACAGGTTCCCATCTGTGTGCTCTCACCTCCTGCATCCTACCCCATCTCATCCCTTAAAACACACACAGGCAGCTGCCCCAACTCGGAGCTTCTCGGTCTCTCCATCTCTTTGCATCTTCAAACTGACTCCTTTGTAAGCAGAACTCGGTCAGTCAACCAGGCTTCCCTCCCTCCGTTCCCTTAGAAGGGGATGGGGTGAAGTAGAGGCTTAGAGCAATCTTTTCCTGTCAGGCATACGTTATTATACTCAAACACAAAAATCTGAAATTAAATCCCACATTGTTCTCCCCATGGGGTGGGATTCTGGGGCACTTATGCCTTCTCACTGTATTCTTGTACATTATTTGAATATTTTACAATAAATATCTCTTCCTTTTTCATTTTTTTATTGTACAAGAAATTCAAATGTATTTTCTCATTTTCAAAAAAAAATTCATGTAATACAAATAAAGCAACAGGCTTGGCTGAAAATTCCTTTTGCCCACCTTAATTCTCCCCACCCCACCCCAGAGGCACACGTCAATATTTTTACAGATGGAAACTTTTAGACCTCTTAGTATGTGCTCACCTACATATTCACCTATAGAGCTGTACGACCATGCTAGGTAACCTATAGAAAGGTGACTGTATTGCTTTTATTTCTGATCACTTTCTTTTCATCACATAGTCTGTGTTGAAGATCTTTCCCTGCCTATGGGCGTCTAGATGCATGTTGTTTGACAACTGTGTGATATTTTGGTGTGGCTGTGGCATGGCTTATTTAATCATTCCTCTACTGAAGGACATCTAGGTTATTTTCAGGTTATTTATTTATTTATTTATTTTCTTGCTCTTGCAAACAACACTTTGATAAACATCCTTGAGGACTTTCCTGTACGCCCCTGCATGGCTGTTTTTCCTAGACAGATAATGACTTTCAGCTTCCCAAGGCAGAAAGGCATACACGCTTTTAATTTGAAGAGGTGAGTCGGAATTACTTGATAACCAGAAAAGGGCACCAGCAGCAAAGTAAAAGACAGGAAGAAACCCGGTCCCACCTGGCCCTTGCCTGTCACTGCAGCCAGACAATAAGGAAAGGGGCTCTGGAGTGGTTGGTGCTGTCGTGCTGGCATTTGTTGCTGGCAGTCTCCTGCACGCTGCTTGCTCTCACTGCTTCCCTCTGCCCTGCAGATTCAGCCCTTATGAGTGGTATGATGCCCACCCCTGCAACCCCGGCTCCGAGGTGGTGGAGAATAACTTCACGCTGCTCAACAGCTTCTGGTTTGGAATGGGTTCCCTGATGCAACAAGGTGTGTGTCTGCTCTCCCCGGGCCTTCTCATCCGAGGATGGTAGCTTTTCTCCCCAGGGGCTCCTTCGGCCTCAGATCTTTGATAACCTATCAGAAGGCTCACACAGAGTAGCCCCTGGTGTGCGCCCTCACCCCCCAGATTCACAGCCTGCTCCTCTGTGCTGGGCAGAGCCAGACCTGTGACATTGAGACACATTGCCAGTGCCTTCTACTGCTGTTGGGATAGACAAGAAGCTCCTGCCTGCTGGACTGACTACTGGCTTCTCCACGGCAGAACAGAGCTGTGACAGGTCATGGCTGAGGAGACCAAGAGAACTTCCAGATATCGTTAGATCAGGGCTAGGTGAGGTTGACCGAGGCTGGCACCTCTGTCTGAGGACATCAGAGACAGTGTCCATTGAGGAAGACTGTATTCCATCCTAGAGGGAGGGCCCCAAGCTGACTGGCCCTGAGCATGGGTTCAGCCCTTTTGGAATGTCTGAAGATGTTTAATTGGCTAGGAAGCAGTCAAGCGTAGTCACTCAAATCTGTAATTCCAACATCTGGGCAACTGGGACTGGTGGATTAATGTGGGTTCAAGACAAGCAAGTCTTGAGCTACAGAGCAAGGCCCTGTCTCAAAGTGAGAAGCAAGGAGTTGCAGCAAGATAACTCAGTGGGTAAAGGCACTTGCTGCCAAGCCTGATGACCTGATGAGAGGTGCTGTACCTCCTCTAACTGCAAGGCCCTTGTCCTTCACACTCCTGTGTGAAGCCTGCGAGTGAGCAGGAACCCTGGTCTTTGGGAAGCATGACAGATGAATGAGGGGAGAGAAGAAGAGAGGGAGGGATGAAGAAAGAGAGGGAGGGAGGGGCATTTTCCTTAGTGCCCATCACACACCCTCCACTAGACTGTGACTTCTGTGGAGCTGTGAGTGTGGCAGAAGAGGAAACACCTGTTCCACCCCTGACCGGTGGGCTCCAGTAGCTGAGAAGTGACAGGCAGCTTTCATGGGAAGTGCTTCCATCTGTCCCCTGCTATTAACAAGCACCCTGGAGCCTCACCTTGCTTCTTTGCCTGTCATCTTTGTTCGGTGACAGTTGAGAAAGTCCTGGCAGCCCCTTCAGTGCAGTAAGAACTTCTTGGCTGCTGCCTGCTGCTACTCAAAGTCCAGGCCCCCAATGCATTCCCAACATGGTTTTGATTAGGAAGGGGGGAAAAAAAAAAACCTAGGTATTTGAAAAACTCTCCCTTGAGTGACTTCTTTGAGAAAAAAAAAAAATCATCCATATCAAAGCAAATGCTTTCAGATTGCAGGTCCAAATATTCCAGAAAGTTCAGGAGGCGCTCGCTATTGAAATCTCTTGAAAGCCGTCTAGTTAATTACTTCAGTTAGAAGGTTTCCTCTGAATTGTGCTCTGCACCTAAGGTCGGAGAAGAAGAGTGATATATTTCAGCAAAGAGCTTCCAAAAATGTTGATTTTTCTCCTCCTGCCAAGTGCCTCCCAGCAATCTCATATTTGTATACTGCTCGTATTTCTGACGCATTTCTCTTCAAATTATACCATTGCGGTGTCGCAGTATCTTGGTGAGGCTGGGACAGAGGAAGGACAATTCTTCATCCTTTGCAGAATCCAGAGCAAGGAAATTGTCTGGCCTAAGATCACCCAGAGAATCGGGAACAGGATTTTCTCTCAGAACGCATAGGTTCCAACCCTTATATTGTGGTCCACGGACAGGCATTAGAACCTTTGAAATGGTGTGTGTGTGTGTGTGTGTGTGTGTGTGTGTGTGTGTGTGTGTGTG